GGGGGTTTGGGGTCACATTTGGGTGTCTAGGGTCACATTTGGGGTCTAGGGTCACATTTGGGGGTCTGGGGTCACATTTGGGGGTTTGGGTCACATTTGGGGGTTTGAGGTCACATTTGGGGGTTCCCAGGGTCACATTTGGGGGCCCTGGGGTCACATTTGGGGGTCTGGGGTCAATTTGGGGGTCTGGGGTCACATTTGGGGTTCTGGGGTCACATTTGGGGGTCTCAGGACCTGGGGCTGTGGGTGGGGGGTCCGTAAGCTCACCCCACCCCTCCCCCAGCTCCACGCCCCAGTGACCGAGGACAGCGATGAGGAGGCGGAGCCATGACAGACCACGCCCACGGGATGAGCCACACCCACCTCATTAACAAATCCTACCACACCCAAGGGGCGGGGCCCATTAGAACTGACGTGCCTTAAGCCCTGCCCAGTGTGGGTGGAGTCTATGGAAGCCCCACCCCTTTTTATTAAAACACCAACCTGTTCTCAGCAGGCTCTGCCCACAACAAAACCACGCCCAATATGGGCGGGGCTTCAAAGCCACGCCCACAAAACGAAGCCACTCCCATTGTGGGTGGGGTCTGACAGCACCCCCTCTTCTGTTCAATAAAGCGTTTGCAGCGCCAGGTGTGGGCGGGGCCAGGTGGTGTTTAATGAGGGGGCGTGGCCTGACGGGGCGTGGCCTCACCACTTGCCCCGCTTGCTCCAGTCCTTGGGGGTGAAGTGCAGGCACTTGGCGTCGATGCGCAGGAGCCGCTTGAGCATCGCCCGCTCGTGGCCCTCCACGATGTCCTCGGAGAGCGTCAGGATGTACTGACCCTGCACAGGTGTGCACAGGTGTGTCAGGTGTGTCAGGGTGTACTGACCCTGCACAGGTGTGCACAGGTGTGTCAGGGTGTACTGACCCTGCACAGGTGTGCACAGGTGTGTCAGGGTGTGCACAGGTGTGTCAGGGTGTACTGACCCTGCACAGGTGTGTCAGGTGTGTCAGGGTGTACTGACCCTGCACAGGTGTGCACAGGTGTGTCAGGATGTACTGACCCTGCACAGGTGTGCACAGGTGTGTCAGGGTGTACTGACCCTGCACAGGCGTGCACAGGTGTGTCAGGATGTACTGACCCTGCACAGGTGTGTCAGGGTGTACTGACCATGCACAGGTGTGTCAGGTGTGTCAGGGTGTGCACAGGTGTGTCAGGGTGTACTGACCCTGTACAGGTGTGTCAGGGTGTGTCAGGTGTGCACAGGTGAGTGCTGTGTGTGTGACACCCAGGTGTGTAAAGGGGGACACACAGAGATATTTCCATCCCCCCCCAGGTGTGCAGGACTCCCCCAGGTGTGTACAGGGACACCCAGGTGTGTGTGGGACCCCCCAGGTTTGTGTGGGACCCCCCAGGTGTGTCCAGGACCCCCCCAGGTGTGTCCAGGACTCCCCCAGGTGTGTGCAGGACTCCCCCAGGTGTGTCCAGGACCCCCCCAGGTGTGTCCAGGACCCCCCCAGGTGTGCAGACCCACCTTGTAGTAGTTGATGAGGTTCAGGTACTGCAGGGTGGAGATCACGTCCTCCTTCTTGATGCTGGTGATCTCGCTGATCTCGCTGGGGGAGGGGGGAAATGAGGGGGGGCTGCACCCCCAGAGCCCCCCAAATACCCAAAACCCCCCAGAGCCCCCCCA